TTTCACTTTAAATTCATATAGACTTTTGCGCTCAAAATACAAAATGTATCCCCTTCGAATATCCTCCGATCGTACATAATATTCCCAACCATCATGGAATTCCAATTTATTCCTACTTTTACCAACCAAACTTCATAATTACGGTGCTCCCTAGTAAGTATTGTACAATTTACCGTAATATGATTTGTATATTGGTGGTAGATTGACTCCGGCAATGCCTGTATGAAAACCACATGCAATGTGTTGGACGGATATTTACTAAAATTAATAGTTAAATATAAAATCTAGAGAAGAAGTTCGTTTAAATCGGTCAAATTCATACGAAGATTGGGCTGCTTGCATTCGTAATAGTTGCAACAAACGGGTCAAACGTGGTTGCCATTGTAAAGTACCTGTATAAAAGATGATGCGAGTGAATATTTGAACGAACCGGTTCATCCATACGAATTAATTTATTATATTTTAAATACACTCAGGAAAATGAAAAAAAAAAAAAAAACATACCGCGAACCTCAGATGCAACTTTCGGTTTGGTGCTGAATAATAAAAAAACAAACGGCAATACTTCCATTTACATAAATATTTATCAATATTGTATTACATATAATTATAATATTGTTTTCAGTAAAGTCATTTTATGACACTGTCATTAGGATGCACAACCGGTACAACTACCCATATTTTTACAAATTAATGGGTACACATGAAAAGAGGCTCTGTCATTATTTCAGAAATTTGGACTGTAGTGTATTACACATTTCGGTCACCATTTATTCCAAATTGAAGCAAATTTTCAGTCAAAGTTTGGTGATGTAACCGAGGATTGAGCCATAATAAATTTTATTACTTGCTTCACCAAATTCAAGCACACCCAAAATACTGCTTCTCCACCCAAAGCTTCTCAAAATTCAAGCACACCCATAATACTAGTTCGCGCTATTATTGTGTATGTTGACGTTGTCGATTTTAATTCGGATTACATTCTACTCATTGTTCGTTGATATTTCGAGATTCGTTCGATTGAACAAACAAAAAAAAAAAGATAATAATTAAATATATTTTTGTTTTACGGTTCAGGCACACGGTCGTGTTCGTTCGTTTACAAATGAATGAGTTTTGTGTCGAAAACGAACAAGGTCGAACCGAAAAAAAAATTTGGCCACATGCTCGGAATTTTTTACCAGAAAATTGAAAAAAAGAATTATAAGGTGTGGAAAAAAAATACACAAACAATTGAGAATGGACCAAAATAAAAACCCCGTATTCAGTGAATACGTTTTATAATTTTTTTATTGTAAAACGTATTATCTGAATACATTTTCTTTTGTAAGAAAATATGAAAAAACGTATTTATTAAGGATTACGTTTTCTATACAAATTGAATAAGAAAACGTATTCATACGTGCTTTCTATTGTTGTCCACTCCTTTATTTATTTTTTTTTTGGTCCACATGTTTTTTTATTTTATTTAATTAAATTGCTCCACATGCTCGGCCCGTGCCTTTATCTGTCATTGCTAATAAAATAACCTTCAACATGTTGCAAAATCTGATGATTCTTGAAGATTAGTCTTATCCTAACAGCTGTGACCCGTGTATATGGCTACGAACAATTTTTTTATTTTTGTTGTTTTGCGAAATGGTACATCATGGGTTAGAAGGCTTTTTGCTTTCTATTTAATTAATGTGCAGAGACAGTGGGGTGTACTGTGTAGGTGTGGAAGGTGTAAGCTCATTTTATATATTTATTTGGTGGGAGCAATTTTTAGGCGTGACAGGGTGTAAAGGTAGGTGGCAGGTTGGTCAAAAAAGAAGAATGAAAGGAAGGTAATGGGCGGGAGAGAAAACCAGAAATACCGGGAAGAGTGGGGGAAAAAAATTTCGAGGCAATATAAAAGGATGTGTTGCACGACGAAATCATCAACAAAAAATCATCATGGTTTCTCAACCACGTTTGTGTTCTTGCGGATGTGGTCGGATGTTCCGTTTTATGGCTAAAACAGATAAAAATTATGGTCGGTATTTTTATCGGTGTCCAGCAGGTTTACAACACCCAGGGAGTTTCGTTTGGGAAAACGAGAACTATTTTTCTTCAGCGCCACCTGCTCAAACGTATTGTAATACACAATCCAATGCACAAAATAGCATTCATACGACTCGTGGGTCCAACTACTCAAGCACGTCACATGCGGCAACGAACAATGATACTCCGACAGGCCCTGAAATTGCGACCCCATATGTCGTTACTAGTTTTCTTTTGGTCATTGGGTTCTTAACTATTGTAGCACTTTTAAAATTCATCATGATGTAACGTAAAAATTGTATTAAAATAATCGCGTATGTTTTTGTTGTAGTGTTTCTATTTTGTATGAAACTTATCGATGTTATCAATGCAAGTTATTTTTCACTTCTATATTTAGTTATATCCTAAAACGCTGTCTGTAGTGTAAAATAAAATGCTTGTTATTTGGTATATATTTTCTCTTTTTACGTAAGCATGGAAAAGAATTGAAAAATTTTACAAGGATTTGACGATAATAATTATAAACATAATTTTAATGCATACAACTAATTATATCTGTTATCAAGAGTATTCATTAATATATGATAAGTGAGGCATGGGTGCATGGGGCAAAGTTATGAATGAAAAAAAAAAATAAAAAAAAAAAAACAACACCTGTACCACTGACTGTAGGCATGGGCCAAAGTTATCAAAATGAGATTGGAATGTGGTGTAATTGGAATAGTGTTAATGTGGACCGTCAATGTTTCATATGTTGGGGTATTTTTTTTTTTTTTTTCATACTTCTTTGGTTATATATACACCTACATGAGTTTCACTATAATGTATTAGTTCAATTCTCACCGCTCCATAACATCCACCATTTTGATTTTATTTACAATTATTTACAAGTATGTGGGGTTTATCATTGCCAAATACAAAGGAAGAACATTTCCACTATATACGGGAAGGCTTTTCAAACAAACTAGTGCGTGGCCCGTGCGATGCACGGGAAAACAATATTACGATTGTGTTATAAATTTAATATACAAATAAATTAATCAAGATTTACCCATTGTTTTAAAATTAAACCGTGTTGGACACAGTCCAACCGCATAGACCGAGAACCAGCTTATAATCAGTCTAGTTCACTTGAATAAAATATTTGCTATTGAATCCGTCAACACCAGTCGGTTGAACTGGTAGGATCGATACGATTTTTTAAATAAATTTTGCTATATTTAAAATTATTTTAAATAAAATAGAGCTTTATAAATTGTTTATCAGATTCAATTGGCAATTGTCAAACCCTATCCCCAAAAACTCCCAAAAATCCCGAATTCGCTCGCCCTCTATCAAATTCGCCAGTCGTAGCCTTCCTTAGTGACGGTTAGATTCCAG